CCACAAACCTGGCATCCTGGCAAGTCCCTTCTAAATTAAATCCCTGGCTATTCCTAGTGCCTGCTCAATGAGTCATGGAGCAGAATAAAGCTCATTTCTGCTGGTTTTGCCAGAGCATTTAATTACTGCTGTGGCTTACCGTAGGCTCTGAGGAAATGGCAGGGGACTCACAGCTATTGTCCTTTGTCCTGCAACATCAGCAGCAAGGAAGCACCCTTGCAGAGCTTGCTTTTGAAGTGCTCTGCCATACCACGTCACTTCAGAGTTTTGCCAGTCCCAGGCCAAGTTTCACTTTGGGGATGAACAACCCTTCTGTCCTCTGCCTGTCCGTAAGTCTGGCAAGGGGGCAGGGTGTTGGGGATGATGTAAAGTATCCCGAGTCCCTTGTTAGCTAGGCGCTGGCCTTTCCTGAAACAAAACTGGTCCTAAAGTCTGTACCAAGTTGCTGCAGTTACCTGTACACAGTCTGCTTTGGAAATCCTTTTTCTTCAAGGAGCAGTAGAGAGCTTGATGAGCTTGTAGATTAATGGAGATAATTAAATTAAAAGAAAGCAAAGGAAGAAAATTCTCCCCTTCCTTCTCCTTGTAGGAAATAGTTCCCAGGCCTGTTTCAGGGTGAAGTCTGGCCTGAGCTCAGAGAGGGTGGTGCTCCTTCCTGCATCCTGCCTCACCTACCAGTGGAGGCTCAGGGATCTAGGCTGGTTTAGCTGGAGGAGGGAAGGCTTAGGAGGGAGCCAACAGCAGCTTTTCATTACCTAAGAAGTGGTTGCCAGCAAGATGGAGCCCTGAGGTCTACAGCCTCAGGGGCAATGGTGAAACTGGGGAGTTTCCAGCCAGAGAGAAGGGGGAAAAATAGCACTAATCTGATAATTGAGCATGAGAAGAGGTTGCCTCAGGAGGGTGGGGAGTGTCTGTCCCTGGAGGCTTTCAGGGTATGGCTGTACAAAGTGCAGAGCAAGCTGGTGTGAATTTGGTGCTGACCCTGCTGCGAGCGGGAGGCTGGAGGGGAGAGCTCCTGGGGTCCTTCCAGCCTGGGCGACAGCCACGAGTGCGATCCTGCCACGAGAAGTAGGAGGCTTATTACTGCATGGAGATATAGAAGACTGGTATCCTCACCCTTACCAAAAGCACAGACGCTCAGAATAAAGGTTTGCTCCTGAGGACCAGGAGCGACCTGGGCGGACAGCAGCGCCGACTGCCCCAAGAGCAGCTGGGCCCCGGCAAAGCCTCCCCTGCATTGCACGATGCCGGCTGAAAGGCGATTGTCCTTTAGTGCCATCTCCTGGGAAAAAGTCAGATTTCCAGCCCTGCTGTGCCTCATCTGCTGGGATTTCCTGCCCTCCCCTAAGCCGGCCTCCTGCTTTGTCCAGAGCCATCTCCAGGGTGCTGCGTCCCAGCAGTGTAACGGGTGTCTCTGCATACCGCTGTTCTCCCCAGGTGAATCCTCAGCCTCCTGTTTGCAAGTGTTCAACATGTAAAGCCACACGAACATTGGGGGTTTTTCCTTCAACACCTAAAAATCCTTTGCCCTGAGGTTCTTGCTGTGCCTTAAACCCATTCACTAAGGATGCTTCACTGGAGGAAAGGGGATGCGCCACAGCCACTTCTTGTTTCCGAGTATCGTCCGCTGCTGGAGGGGTCACAGCTGCTCAAGACAGGACGCGTAATTTCAAATGCAGGGGGATCGGGGGACGGCAGACTGGAATGACCCCTCCCAGGAGCTGCCATGGACCCCAGCTCCAGCACATCATCCGTACTTGCCTCCCAATGCTTTCAGTATTCCCCTATTTCTGCTGCTCGTAAAGCAATCTGTGCTCCTTTCTTTCCTAGGACACTAACCAGGACCAGATTGCTTTTTCAGCTGCGTCTGAGTTAGGGTGGGGACTTTCCTGTCCTTGCTGAATCCCATCCTGCCCCATGACAGCTGCTAAACCATAGCTGCAAAAGGGTGTTAGTCCTTGTGCTGCAGATAAGTGCTCTGCTCCCCAGTAAACCTCCCCCTTCGGGCCTTACCACCTCTCCCACCCAACACGCAGCCCTACGCTGACTACTCAGATTCCTAAAACCACCTGAGTGATATGGTACTCATCTGGAGAATCGCACTTACGGAAAATGGGGACAACTAGCCTGCATTGGTTAATACTGGGCCGAACATTTGCCTGGAACGACCGTTTCTGTACTGTCCTGGTGAGTTTAGAAAGACTGAGGTTTAGCATTTGACTGGAGGAAAAAGGTAATTTTCAATTCATCTTCCTATATGACTGGAAAGTGAACAAAGTAGCCTACCAACCTGCCTACCCTTCACGTTCTCTGTGTAGGAAAAGCCTTACAAAAAACAAAAATCCCTTTATCCCATTGCTCTGCGTCCATTAAAAGGCATCTATCATTAATGACTCTATTTTTAATTCTATCATCGCATATTATATGCCTGAGATTTTCCTCTACATGAAATTCACTGAGCTCATTTCTAGTGCGTGACTCACTGAACTCTGATTGCCTTGATTTTAAGAGGAAACAGCAATGCTTTTATCCTCCTTTCTGTGAAGGAATCTTTTGAATTTGCTGTTCATTCTGAGTTTTGGAAGGATATCATTTGTGTGTGTGCAATATAATTTCTATCATATCTTGCTGAAATCAGCATAAGATGACTGCATACTTGGCAGTGTCATCCCTTGCTCCCTGCCTTTTGCTGAATTACCAGAGTCACTGGAAAAAAACCTGACATGTCTCTGGCATGGGCATTTAGCTCCTTCATGCCATAGCCTTCAAGAAGAGTTGGGGCTGGACGCAACAGCTGCTTTTCGAGGCTGGTCTGAACAAAATCTCCTTAGGCTCCAGGCTGGTGGATTTAGGGAGTGAAAGTTTAAGGTCCTTCTTGGATTTGGAAATAATTTTGTCTCTAAATTAATATGCAATCACTAGTAAAGGCTAGTTGTTTCTAAATTTACTTAACAAATCCCTTCAAACTGAAAGACAGTGGTTTTGAACACCATTGTGGTGCCCGTAATGTGTAACTAGGGGAGGAGCTGTAGCTATTCACACCATCATCACGCTATATAGGTCCATACTTCTCCAAATTCTCATGCCAGTAAAGTGTATATATACACACTCTAGACCTGTCTTTTCTGGCACCCTGAAGAAGGGAACAAGCAGTAAATAATCCAAAATTATTTCCTCTTATTCCAAATCCTGTCATTTTGATGCCTCAGTCTGAAGATCGGGAAGCGAAAGCTGTCTGCATTTTGTGATTTGCACAGTGGATAATACTATGCATGCTCAAGAAATTGCAGAGGGTAGTTACTCATTTTTGCCTTAAGCTTGTGAAAATAAGCAGCAGTGTTCATTAAGAATGCCTTTGCTTTTTAAAAAAACTTGTGGCCAGCATAAATACTAACTTCTTTTCTCATTTATTTGTTTCATTTGGTGCATCACTTTTATTGTTAGATTTGAAAATCAGTTTGCAATTTCCTGTTTTTTTCCCGTAAGTACTTACGTTAATTTGTTTTGATTCGTGCTTGTAAGCATTGCCTATCAAACAGTGCTGACCAATTAGACAGTCATTGCTGTTTTGTTGAACGTTTGCTCAGGCATCAGAGGTCTGGTTCCCCTTATAGTGTTTTTCTGGTCCTGTGGGTGTTGTTGCAGATTAAAGATCTCTGTGTGAATTCGGTTAAATTACAAAATATTGACTCCATGTTACATGAGAAGATTAACTCTCTCAGCAGGGCTCTCCTCTCGTGTCTGTGGCAGCTTCACAAAAGGCATCACGGTTAATTATTGTTGACTCAGTGGCTCAACGATGTGAAGGTGGTGGGGGAGGTCTGGTCAAACCAGGCCAAGCAGTTCAGCACCTATGATTTACCTGGGGCAGTGGGAGGGTCCCAGCGGTATAGAGGACGAGGTATCTCACCGTGGGTGAGTGGTCACAGCCCGCCTGTGCTGCAGCAGCACGGCGCGTGGTGGTTTCAGGCTTGCTGCCAGGCAGCTGCGGTGGCTGCCAGGAGCAATGGAGCCAGGAAAGCCGCGTGTGAGGAGATCAGCCCTGCCAGAGATACCCCTTGAGTCTCCCCTGCATCGGTCCCGTCTCAAGCACACCAGCTCTGCCTCATTTCAGACTGGCCATTTAGGGTTACAAGTGGGAGCGGGAGAGGAGGCCTGTACTAGGGAATGGAGGAGGAAATCTGCAGCATTCAGCACAATTCTGTGTCCTCCCAGTTGTTCTGGGGGGCTTAGAGGGACTCCTGTGACCTAGAGGCCAGACAACAGCAGCATGGATCATCTTGACTGAGCAGGATGGAAAGGAAGCAATATTCAGAAGATCCCATGCCACAGACACAAGACAGATAATTTATCTCATAAAAAACCCCAATCTGCACAGTAAAGTAGCTTAAGAAGGGGTTTCAAGTGACGCGGAAGGTGATCAGCTGGCAGACTATCTCCGCACGTGCCTCCCACACAACCCAACAGCAGCACAAGGCTCTGCTGATCAATAGCTAATCTCCAGAAGGAACTGCCCTTGTTCCAAAGGCAAATTCAAAATAAACAGTAAGTCCTGCTCATTCTTAGTGTTGTGGTCTGCTTGTCTAAAAGGGAGGAAGGTCTCAAAACCCATTAATGGCATTAGGGCATGATTTAAACAGCATGGTGGTAAACAAGAAGACAAAGGGATTGCCCTTCCTCCTGCTCTTTCCCAAAGCTCAGGTTATAAGACATCTTTGCCCCTAAATCAGTCAGTAAAATAACAGGGAACAACTACCCAAGATGGCCGTGAGACCACTCAAATAATACCAAGCATCCTGATGAGGAATGTAGATGTTATTCCCTTCCGCACCACAGCTGGTCAGGCAGATGTCCCAGCACTGCTGCCTGACCAGCACTCCCCCAGCTGAAAGAAGTTGGCCACACGCACCAAGAACGGGTTTATTTCCCTTCTCTGCTACAGCAATGACCAGGCCTCTGTGCTCAGGCAGAAGACGCCTGTCTCTTTGGCACTATTCGCTTCATGCTTTCACGCCCACAATCATATGATGGACCTTTTGGTTGAGGGCTCCTCTGGGGACTCCCTTCTTGCCCATCAGGAAGATCAGGGCTTGGGGGGTCTTGCCAATACAGCTGGATCTGCTGTCGCTGCCTTTGCTCCTGACATCCATCGCATCATCTTCATGCACCAGCAGGCTGTCACGAATCACAGTGCACTTTTTGTCAGCTACAGTGATGCCCGTCAGTAGTAACATTTTCCGATCCCGGCCCGTGATCAAGGACACTTCTTGAGGTGAGATGGCTGTGAGGAGCCCTCCTGGCTTGGCCGCCCACATGCACTTGTTGCCAGAGAGGCCCGCGATAGCCACATCTTCAACTTTTTTGTTGGCCAAGATGCCGTTGATGTGATGCTTCCAGTAATCCATCATGGCTGGGCTTCTGCCTGCTGGGACTTCAGTCTCAGCACACTGATCCTAAAGATTTCAATTTGTGAGTTCGACCTTCTGATCCCTGCAAGCCTGAACGGGGAAGCTGGGCGACATCAACAGCCAAGGCTCTGGCTTTTCCTGTGAGGAGAGACATTGTGCCTCTGTGGTGCTGGGCACTGGTGAGGCTGCACCTCGAATCCTGGGGTCAGTTTTGGGCCCCTCACCCCAAGAAAGACACTGAGGGGCTGGAGCGTGTCCAGAGAAGGGAATGGAGTTGGGAAGGATCTGGACCACAAGTCTTGTGAGGAGCAGCTGAGGGAGCTGGGGGTGTTTAGCGTAAAGAAAAGGGAGACCTGATTGCTATCTGTAGCCACCTGAAAGGAGGTTGTAGGGAGGCGGGTGCTGGTCTGTTCTCCTGGGTAACTGGTGACAGGGCAAGAGGAAATGGCCTCAAGTTGCATCAGGAGAGGCTAAGATTAGATATTAAGAAAAACTTCTTTACTGAAAGAGTGGTCAGGCATTGGAACATGCTGCCCAGGGAGGTGGTGGAGTCACCATCCCTGGAGGTGGTCCAGGGACAGGTAGACACGGCGCTTGAGGACGTGGTCTCGTGGATACAGTGGTGTTGGGTTGATGGTTCAACTAGATGATCTAATAGGTCTTTTCCAACCTCAGTGATTCTGTGATGGCAGTGTTGGCCACTCCGGGCCTGTTCTACAGCACTGTATCTGCCTTGCAGACGGGTCTCCCACAGTGACTTTCCCGACCAGCGGGAAGCTCTCAGAGTGGGTCTCACAAGTTCAGTACCAGGCAGCTGGGGCGGGTAGATGCCCCAAGGTGGCCCAACAGCGTGGGATCCCCACCCCAACCTCAGGCAGCGCCATTTTCCCCCCACCCACACCAGC